AAAGGGTCTTTCTTGCGCAAGAAGGGGCAGTGTAGACAACTCCTTCTGGCGCAAGAGCCTGTTCCGCAAAAATGGCGGCTCATTAAATATGCAAATGAGGATCGGCGATATTCCACACTTAGCCTCATTTGCATATCCCTGGCGCAAGATCGCACCAGTGCAGACATAGCCTTAGTGTGGTTACTGAGCAATGCAAGTGGTACCTAGACCACAGCAACAGTTAAGACCAAGAGATCTCTACAGCACAGGCTGAGAGGCAGCTAGCTGGCTTTTAGCTCAGAGGATAGAGGCTCCTATACTCCGCTTCAGAAGGTCCCAGGTTCAAATCCACCTGGTGGTGCTTATAGTAGGATTTCAGCAGCCTCCGAATCTGACCTGGAAAATGGGGCCTTTCTGGTGTGGAATCCGGGATCTGGGGAGTTTAAATCTGAATGGAACATTCACACAGGCCTGGATTTGGGGTTCCAATCTGAATCCATCACCAAGCCTTTTATTTTGTAAAAAGGGCAAACCAAATGAAGCAGAAATAACAGAGAGCACATAGGGGAGCCCTTCAGCTGACCCCAAAACAAATTGACTCCTGCAAGAAAAGAAAAGATATAGCGTCCATCCGATAGACACAAGTCAGCAGAAGAGCATGCAAACTCAGCTAACGACAAAAACAAGCTAAGCCTGGCCAGCACTTCTTTCTATGCCCTTTCCCTATCCAAATTCACACCCAGCTCCCCACAAGTGCGGGGTGTCCAATTTCCCATGCAGACAGCTTTCCATACTTCTGCTTTGACTTTTGTAATGGGCTCCCTTGGTTCCCAGCATACCCCAGTGTAGCACTGACAGACCTTCTCATCTGGGGCTGGAATTGAACCCAGAACCCCTGGAGCTTAGTGCATTGACCCACTACTGCATGAGCGAAAAAGCCAGCCGGCTTCACTGAAGGCAGTAGAGCAGACTCGATGGGACAATACACCGCACCCGAGAGGTGTGTGGGTTACACCAGCATCAAAGGAGATGCCTAAAGGTCTGCAGAGGGCCACGAAGGTGCCAGCAGCACGGGGACTGGAGAGCAAGAGGAGACAGAGGGATGGGGAAGATTAGCTTGGTACTATAGTTGGTTGATGAGTGATCCCCCCACCCCCTACATTCCCGCCTTCTGTGGCCTTAGCTTTGTTCCCTTGGATAAACACAAGTGTCAAGACAGGTAATTAACCCTCCATGTTGGAACTGAACAAACAGCAATTACATTTGGGAAGCAGGATCAAGTTTCCTGAAGTTTCAAAACACCCTGGTGACCCTGGTGCAACTCCGCACGGACACCGATGTTCTTTTAATTATTAGCTTTCTGATTCTTATTCCAGGTCCACTGGCAGCCTTCGGACCACAGGCCCAAACCGAGCTAAGCTGCATGCACGTGCCACTTGGGTGGGGAGGAGGGGGTTGCTAATGCAACTAGCCCTTGCATATGCTCTTACCTGATTTGCACATATCAGTGCCCAAGTGGCGCACCTACCTGCTGGATTCTGGGGAAAGGGTGCCTCTTGGCTGTTTGTGAATTTGTGGAAAATTGTGTAAGTCCCTAGCTCTGGGAAAACATCCTTAGAAAGTCTGCCCTGCTTCCTGAAGCCAATGGCAAAACTCGCCGGCTCACCACATTCAGCTGGGTAACCGGCAGACCCGGGGCAGTTACAGTCCGAGAATAAGCGAGTAAGCAAACAAAATAGAAAAAAAAAAGAGAGAGCAACACACAATGTGGCTTGTGAGTGTGTTCCTGCTAGGGATGCGAAATCCCATTTTAATGAGTTAACCACCTAAACTTTATGTTTAACAGGGTAACTGATTAAATGGGGCCAGCAGGGGACTGCTGGGCCCAGCTGGGCTGGAGCGCCCCCCCGCACCTCCCACCACGGGCGGAAGATGCTCTGGCCAGGCCAGAGTGCCTCTGCTCATGGCGGGCACGGCTGGGCCCACTGTAGGAGGGAGCTGCTTCCCATCCATGGTGGGCCCTGTGGGACTGGAGCAGCCCCCGTCTGCTCCAGCCCTCACCAGTTAACCATAATTGGTAAGCTTCACCTGTTAAAAGGAGGCTTACCAGTTAGCCATCATCCCTAGTTCGTGTGTGTGTGTGTGCGCATGCACATGCGTGTGTGTGTGTTAGGGCTGCCAGGTGTCCGGTATTCACCCAGACAGTCTGGTATTTTCACCTCCTGGCCGGTAAAAAATTCAGAAAATACCGGACACCTAAGATGTCTGGTATTTTCTGATTTTTTTTCCCCAGCCAGGAGGCAAAAATGCCGGGCACCTGGCAACCCTA